AAATAAGGTATGACGTTTGGCACCCGCAGACCTGTCGGTCCCACTGTAGCTAGCAGCTAGGTGTAGGATAGTCAATCCAGTATAGATATATACGCAAACTCACGCTCTCCCTCCAAGAGACTCTGGCTACAACTCGGGTCATGACAATTAAGACATGCTCCCATACAGTGGATCACAATTGTTAACGTATTCGTGTATATGTAATATAATGTTACTTGTTCTAGTATCGTTGTATATGTTCTCTTAGTAATAAGTATTGACTCCTGAATGAACTGACTCGTTGATCTAGAAATTGTAGTAGTATGATCCTGTGTTACCCCGATGGTAACTTACTAATGATGTGCTGATAAGTATGAATATGGAAGTACTTTTATGTCTATACATGTATATATGATATATAACTAATATTGTAACGACCCTCAGATGGTCACCCGAAATCCCACCAGACCACATCTCAGTGCACGAAAAGGAAATAGGGCGGATGGCCTTCCTAAGCCCTTTAAACATTACTTATATATCTATACATATATGGGCATGCAATTTATAAATAAAAGCATTTGATAAGTAAAAGAGTTTGTGAAACATTTTGAAGTAAAACAGTTTGAACAGTGATAAAATCATTGGTTTCCTAGTTATTAATCACATGTGATTAATGCAATCACATGTGATCAAAGCAATAACTATAAGTGTTTAACTTGTATTCCCCCCCATAAAGTATTTAAAACATTTAAAAGCATTTCAAAGGTTGAATAAAGGGGTATGAACTCACTTGGAAGTTTGAAGATAGCGAGATCGAAAACTGGGCAGAGTTTCGTCTCGGGAACGAATTTTTCTCGGGATTCTCGGGAATCTCGGGAGTAAAATCGACCCTTGGGACTGGAGCAAAAAGACCAGAGCTTCGGGTTTGAACAGGCACGGAAATCGAGGCAAGATCGTGAGAGAAAGAGAGAAAATGAACAAATTTTTCAGAAAGGCTCGCATCCCTTTTATAGGGGTGCTGAACCGCCTCCGTACGCGGGGCGTACGGGCGTACGCAGCGCGTACCCGTACGTCACCGCTTACGTATTTCGGATGGGGCGGGTCGGATGGGACGGCGGGTCGGGTAGCTTCGCATAGGGAGACATGGACGATCCGAGGTCGTGGCCTCGAGTACGCGGGGCGTACGAAGGTACGCAGCGCGTACTTCGGCCCTAGGCTGACTCCCCTTCGGATATTACCAACGTTTCTAATAAAAATTATATATAAATTAATTATCAAACTTCAAAAATTCATATCTCCTTCATACGAACTCCGTTTTCGACGTTCTTTATATCCCCGCGAAGGTGAGACTACGATCTACAACTTTCGTTTCGATTCCGTTGGCAAATTCCGAAATTATTTTTATTATTTATTTATTAAAATGACGTGATTAAGGAATTTCTTTAAAAATTCATAACTTCTTTATCTGATGTCGGTTTTTGCCAGAATTTTTACCGTTGAAATACCATTGTCGAGACCTTCGATTCTCGTTTAGGTCATTCCGGCCAAATGTCGCTCGATCTCCGATTCGAGTTTTTAGCTGTCTGTTGCTAAGCTGAACTTGGAAAAATCATAACTTCAATATACGAAGTCGGATTTGGGCGTTCTTTTTATGTACGATCATGGTTTAATGATATTTAAACATAGAAGAATTTAAATAGAAACTTTTTGGATATTTTATTATCAAAGTTAATTTTATTAACTCAAAAATGTTTACAATACTTGACCTATTAGGCCATTACAAAGAGTTGAAATATCGGGTTGTCACAGTATGTACTTGACCCGATTATGAGCATGGTCATTTTAGGTTGCCTTCACCATAGCAACGTGTACGATGAATTAAGGAGAGAGGAGATTAATTATGATTTATTAATATATTATAAGAATAATATATTAAAGGAGAAATCATTCTGTTTAATTAATATTAGTCAATAATTAATTGATAATTAATTTTGTGGCTAAAAGAGATTAATTAAATATAGGGGATTGGACTGCAATTATTGGATAATTGAGTTATTGGGCTAAGGAATGCTAAAGGAACAAGGGGTGAAGGAAATTATGATGGGAGCCCATCATATTTTCATCCTTGGCTTTATCCCAGAAGGTTCCATGGGCTGCTTAGAGTTTAAGTTATCCATTAGGGTTTTAACTGAAACCCTAGCAGCCCACACAAGTATATAAAGGACCCCTTAGGCCCCGAAAACGTGGGTAACTGATTCCTTAGGGTCTAGACATTTTTGGGTGCCTCTTCTCTTCGCCTCCTTCATCCTTATTGGTAGTGGTGTTTATGACTCCATTAGAGGTGCAACACTTGAGGCACTATGCTTTCTGAAGCCAAGGATTAGATTGTTATTGCTATATAACAGTCAAAGGTTAGATCTAAACCCTATTTTATGTTAATATGATTAATTTTATGCTAGATCTAGGGCTTATAGCTTTGGATATTCAATTGCATGTTCATTAGACAAACTAGATCCAAAAGCTTTTAAGGTTTGCATGTACACAATAGGAATGATGTATTGCTCGAAACCCATCAGCGGTATCAGAGCCTAGGGCTGTTTGTTTGATGTATTTGATGCTATAGTTGATTATTCATGCTTAAAATCACAAAATTATGATTTATGGGGGATGGACTCGCCTAGTCCATGGCTGAACTCGTCGAGTCCATAGTGAACTCAACGAGTCCAAGCCTGACTCGACGAGTCAGAGGGTCAAATGGAGCTGATTTCGGGATTTTGACATGTTTTGGCTGTGGATAATTACCTAAAACATTTTTATTAATAAAATCCGAATTTTATCAATATTTGGAGATTATCCTTGCCAAAATAGATGATAATGGTCAAAATTTAGATAACCTTTTGTTTTATTAGATTAAGATTGATTATTTGTAATTTAGTTTCACTACAAGAAAATAGCCCTTTAATGACACGCAAACAATGACACTCGCTGATATACGACGCGCATTTGTAAGTGCCCTAAAAGATAATGTCAGTTTTGCAAATTTTGAAGGATAGAGGGCACGCATTTTTGCACGCGCTAAAATTAGTGTCAGAAAAGAAAAAAAAAAGAAATACGGAGGGCACCTTTCATAAAATGTGTGTCATGTGAATGTGTCGCTTTATAATTTTAAGTGAAACACGCATTTTAGGCGGGAAATGAAATCGACGAAAATTACCCCCGCCTATTGAATCCCAAAATTAATCTCCCCGCCTCTTCTACTTAGCAAGAAAAAGCCCTAGGTCCTACATCTTCATCTTCAGTATCATCAAACATCTCGTTCATCGGATCTCTACTCGATCTCCTTCTTATCAGTATCACCAAACATCTCATTCACCACCTCCGCCCTATCTATAACAAATCTCTCTCTCTCTCTCTCTCCCATTAACCACAACAAATGAGAGAGAGAGAGAGATGATTCCGATAATGTATCAGTTCGTCCGATTGGATGCATATTTACTATTAAATTTGGGGATTTTCTTTTAGGCATCGCTACCCTCTTCTATTTCAATCATTCCAAGTTCATTGTATAACAAGGCTTCGTTGGTTTTATTAGCTAATGATCTCTTTCTAGATGTTAATCGATCTCCAGTTAATTCGTTCACCCCCTTTTTTTAGGGTTTTTGCTCCCCACACTTCCTTCTTCGTTCTAACCTAGATGCAAAAATCGATGAAACATGCGTTTTCCGATCTTTAATAGCCAAGATGGAAACGAAATCCCCGAAAATTCGAAAAACCCCGCCTTGTTCTCCTTCTTTCTACTTTTCTCTTTTCGGCTCTTCACGCACACAAAGATAACGATAAAACTAAGGGAACGAAGATTGGAGAGCTTCCACCAGATACTCATTCACATCCCTATTGTGCGATTCTATTAGAAAAAAATCAAGTCCACAATCGAATTAGGCCGTCCAAGGTTTTCTAACCCTATATTCTTGTGAAATTTCAAGCACATCTCTCTAAACTGGGACGAGGATGGAAAAAGACGGGTTGAGCTAACAACTTGAACATTCAGGTCCTGTTTTGATTCTTCGTGATCTCTCTCTCTTTCTCTCTCTCTCTCTCTCTCTATCTATCTGATATTAGGGTTTTTTCATTTATACAGCAAGTATTTTGATGAATGGCATCCCTAAAATCAATTTTTATAATCACTTGCTGGCTGACTTGTGTGAACTGTACCAAATTTTTAGGTGTTATTCTCATCTCTTTCATCGATACATCTTTTTACAGGTTCATGTTTTCATAAATTTTGTTATCAAAGCAATTTTTGAGTGTCAGTGAGATTCATCCATCAACTGAAATGGCAAAATTAATTTTTTGTATGTGGATTGTAATTCATTAATTTCTAACCACATGGACCGATGTTAGTGTAAACTTTTTATATGATTATGTGGAACATGGATATGCACACAATGTGTTTGTATAAATGCTCAAAAGAATCTTAGAGTTGTCATGGGTCTGTCTCCTGTTCACAGTTGAGGTTTTTCTTCTTTTTTAATGTTGATGCTTACTCATTTGGTAGATGGCTGCCAAATGTGCTTGAACATACCTTTCATGTTCACCTAATATGGAGATAGCTTTTAGCGTCTTTCTAATATTTTATTTATCATATCCATCTTTTAATAACGATTTTCTATTTATAATACTAGATGTGTGATTAAGATGATAGCTGTCAAGCGTACAAATGTTGAGAATTTGAAAAATGAATTTGATTTAGCTAAAAGAACAGTAGAGGTTAACTTCCATTTCCAAACTTTCAACTCATACTTCTTTGTTTACCACTACATTCCTTCACTTGTGTTATTGGAATTTATTATAAAGTAATCTTTAGCTAAGAATATTTATTTCTGTTCTTTTTAATGTGATCCAACATAAAAGAAATCATGAGATGCATGTTGCATTGTTGGTCTAATGACGAGTGCATATGAGTATATACTAAGTCTGGTGCAAAATTAATTACATATCATAACCTGAAAGTAATATAAAAAATGAAAACACTGAATAGAAAAGAGTTTAGGTCATCACTCATCTCCGCTGAAAGACAGGTATAACTAGAAAACTAAGTAAATTAAGTTAATGAATAAAGCAAAAAATGTTATTTTTTTATAAAAATAAACTGTATTCATCTAAAGTTTATTGAAGGTGACAACTAATAGAAATGATCTGATTGGAAATGGCAATGACAGCTTATGCTACTACTTCTATCCTTAATTGTTGTCCCATGGATGCTGCTACCCAAGCCTTTCAGTTTAAAGGCACATCATAATAGAGTATGTCATGTTCTTTTTATTGTTTTAACCATGTTTATATTTTTTGATTAATATTTAAAGACCATATTATATATTTTATTTAATGTTCCAGGCACACCAAGGTGATTCCTATGTGGCACTTGAAGGGACAGATGAGTCATTAGTGGAGGGAGGTCATCATGGCTCCCATGATCATGAAGAACTGTTTGAGCTCAGTGAAGTTTTTTTTCATCAACTTATTCATAAAATTAAGATTGTACTTGGGGCAGTGTCAAATACTTGAGAAAATGATAAGGTTATATTCGTCTATTTTTTTTGTTTCAGGTTAAGGTTCGAGAAGCTGGGACAGATTAGGGGTGGGGGTGGTTGTAAATGTGGTGAAAAAGTCGGGCCTTCCAGAAGCTGGGATAGATTCGGAGAAATCATTCTTGTATAAATCCAATGCCTCGAGCTTAATCATAGATCCAACAGAAGCAGGAAGCCTTCCAGACATATTATTGTGTTCTAAATTAAGAACTTTTAGTTCTTTGAAATGCCACAAACAGTTTGGAATTTGTCCGCTTAGATAGTTATGAGAGAGGTCAAGTATAACTAAAAAGCCATGGATAACCTCACATAAAAAGGAGATTCCTCCAAAAAAATTTGTTTCTGGAAAGATTTAGTAATGCCACAGTGAAAGAGACATTAGTTATTAGACCATCAAAGCTGTTGGAGCTTAAATCTATGACTGAATTGTTGTGAAATATTGATGACAGATCTGGTACTTTCCCACTTTATGTTGTTGGAAGAAAGATTCAGGAATGTTAACTGGGAAGGCCACGAGCCCCAAAACTCAAGAGGAATAGTATCTGAAATACCATTATTTGCAATATCAAGACTGGTAAGGTTTTTCAGATTTTGAATCCTGAGCTTCAAAAACATTTTCCTCAAGGTCTTCCAAAACTTAATCCTGTCAAGGTAACTTTATTTGCGTTTTACTGACCTTTTATTTTTCATAACTAATTCAAAAATACATGACTTCTGTTGACAGGATATGGGCATATAAGAACCTCAGTTTGTGGACCTGGTAAATCAGATTGAGAAACTTGAACAACAATTGATTTCTCACCCATTAAACAAGGTATGAATTTTTTTTAATGTTTTAGTTTTAATTAAATCAAATTTCATGATTTGTTAAATGTTTCAGTCTCAAGATGAAAATCAGATCCAATGAGACGAATGTCAAACCTTTGACCAAGGAGTTAATTGATTATCTACATGTAAGTGACCAGGACCTCAAGGGAAATCTTACTGAAAAAATTTGCTCCATTGTAGAAAAGTAAGTTGAAGGTTTCATTTTTATCTTTTAATTTGGTGAATGCAATATTGTTATAGCATATTTTGATGATTTTCAAAGTATCATACACACAATAACATTTCTTGATTGGTGTTGTAGGCTTTCCCCTGATAAGATTTGGTACATTGATCAGATGCTCATGGTTCTTTCTGAGGTATGTATTATGGTAGTAGGTTCTTGTAAATGATGAATTTCATTTTCCATGCATTTCTAGTGACCTCTAAATTGTTATAAAAACCTTGGTGGAATGGAAGTTATTAGTATGCTACTAAAGACTTATAAGGGACTCCTAATTCTTGTTTAGGGTTAGTTACTTATTTATACAACAATGTTTCACATTTTTTCTGATTAATAATGTTTGTTGTTATACATAATATGCAATGGTGTTTCAAAATAGGACAATGGTTCATGCAACCTGCTATGACTTATTGTATGATGTGGCATAAGTTTTTAAATTTTTTGACACATCAGCTGCTTAGTTGTATTTTAACAGAAATAAATGATTTATGGCATGTGAATTCCTTGACTCCACTTCATTATGCAAGATGATCACCATTGGTTCTACCATTGTTATTGGATATTTGCATAATTGGTTGTTTTAGGGAAGATATCCTACTATTTATTTTTCTTTATTATTTTTTTTCTATTTTGTTACATGGATTTTTTGCGGGTTAAGCGATTAAGCGATATCTCACCTCATATGAACCATAACCGATATGGGAGGTTTGTTAAGTTCATTTTGTTTTCTGATGCAAAAAAAGTGGCTAATATCTTTGTGTTGTGCTGTGGTGTAGCGTTTTCAATATCTATAATTAAGGCAGAGCAAGCAATTCTGCAATGTCTCGATGTTGCAGCTAAGGCTCCGCATTGGCCTATTGGTGTTGATGGTTAGTAATTCCACCTGGCCTTGTTAAGGTAACAACATATCTGTTGTTTAAACTTCACAACCCTACTTGAATTTATATTCCATTCATCATCTAGAAACTAGTTTCTATTAGAAACCATGTCAACTTAGTCAAGTTAGTTGGCTTAATTGCCCTATGTAGAAGGAATTCATATGAACAAAAAATTTCATGAAAATGCTTTTGTCTTCACCTTCAGTTTAGTCACCGGTATGTCAAATGACAAATCTACCCCCATAGGATGCCTCCCCATGTTCCCATATGCATAGAAAAACATAATATATTCAACAGGGAGCTTCATTACATGAACAAAGTGAGGAGACATTATCCTATCAACCCTACAAATAGTAACATTATTTCTACCAATAATGCCCTTGGTGTTGGTCAAGCTCATAGATAATAGCCTTCTGGACATGTATGTCATCATATTACATCCTCCAAATACTACCTTAACATATATTAGTTTTTTTGCAGCTCTCAATCTGATCTGGAAGCTAATTTGTTTAAGGTATATATATATATATATATATATATATATATATATATATATATCCCTGTTATCTCCATTATAGTCATGTCTGAGTTTTTACAGTGTACCCTCCACATCCTTATCATTATAAATACTATGTTTTGTTTTGAAAATGAACTTGCCTCTACAATGGATGTTGCTCTTGGGGTTTTGATTATTGAGTAAAGACTTGGAGTTGAATTTTAATTAAATCTTGCAGCATTATCAGCAAGATGCAGTAAAGACTTGGAGTTGAATTTTGCTAAGTCATATAATCAGCTGCTTGGAGCATTAGTCTTAAAGAATTATGAAAGGCAAGATGCAACTTTAGTTAGTTGGAATTCGATGTACATAGTAGATTAGATGCAAATTTATATATTGTAAGAAATAGAATTGTATGACATTAAATTTATGCAATGGATTCTATTTTTTGTATATGATATTTTATTTTCTACTATGAAACATTAAATATAAATTTAATTTGAAAATAAGTAAATCTATAAATAATATTTTTTTTTTTAAACATTAAAAATTATGATACGCAAAAATGTGTGTCATCTTCATTTATGACATGGCCTTTCTTGACATGGGCTTTCTTGATACGCATTGCGTGTCATTAACACGATCGTCGTAAGGTAACGACACGCGAATGCGTATCGTCTTCCTTTATGACAGGGCCTTCCTTGATACACATTGCGTGTCATAAGCGCGCGTCGTAACTGTGCGTCGTCTCTCTTTATGATAGGGCCTTCCTTGACGCGCATTTGTGCGTCGTTTGAGCCTTTTACGATGCGCAATGAGCATCGTAAAAGGCTGTTTTTCTAGTAGTGTTTTGAATTATCTTGTGAAAAAGTTTCAATTTTCCCCTTTAGGTTTTATAGTTTAAATTTGAACTTAAAAGTTTTGGTTTTGAAATTTAAATAGTTAAACCCTAATGTTTTGAAAAGTTTCAAAACTTGTCGTCAAGTTTTGGAATTTAAATTTTGATTAAAAGATTAATTTTGAAATATTAAATTCTAAACCCAAATGTTTTGAAAATTTTCAAAATTTGCCCTCAAGTTTTGGATTTTAAAATTTAATTAAAAGTCTTAATTTGAAATTTTAAAGTCTAAAACCCAAGTAATTTGAAATGTTCAAATTACACCCTTATGATTTTATTAATTAATTAAGGTGTATAATTAAAGGAGATTAAATAAACCGATAAAGTTTTGGTTTACATTTAATTAAATTAAAAGTATAATTTATTAAATTAGACCACCTAGTATTTTAAAAGTATAAAATACACCCAATACTATATATAACATTAAAAGTCTAATATTTTATATATGTATGAGTAAACAGTCAGTCTTATCGTTAGTAGGCCTCATTCACGAAGCTGGTCTATAAGGGGTGTTTAAGGAAATTGCCTATAAAATGATGATTGAATAGGTATCCACTCTTACCCACCACGCTCTTAACTAGTGGAGGGTCATTTTCTGAATGGGTAGGATAGGACGAAACCTTCCATTATAAGTATAATGAAGTACAAAGTAACTACATGCTTTTACAAATTCCCAAATTCTAGTTACTTTAGGCAAAATGTGAAATTGTATGTTAATCCATGGAATTACACTTTGTACCCTTGTCGAACGTTAGTAGAGTGTGTGTGGTTAACCGACACACTAATTTGGGATTGACATTGGCAGCGAAGGGTGGCTCGATTTTTATCATAGATCAATGGAGCGTGTGTGGCTAACTGGCACATTGATTAGGTGATAGTAGAATTGAGTGCACCATGTTGATTCGCATGGTTATTCACACCTTGTTTGTGATCCTCGGCATCCCAGTCGCAAACTTGAAGGGAATAATCGAGATTAAACATGCCATTGAAAGGTTCAATGAATCTCAAAAGATCTTGGAATTTCAATTCATTTAAAACTTAATTTTTTTTTTCGTTTTTCATGGTGGAAATTGGTAAATCGTCATTTACCTACCTTCATATATTCTGCAACTGGATTACGTCATCCCTATTCTAGGTTGTAGAGTATTGTGTTGGATACTATCCTTAATATCACATTTGGGTGTTTTATTAAGGACTCAATCAATTTAACTTGAATTTTCTCCCGTTTTGTAGATGTCTAATTCTGACAATCATGGTCTTCCTGAATTCTTTGAAGATGATATTCCACGATATGATCGAGGAACAAGAGATCATGCTTCACTTCCTCCACCTCCTCCAATTATTCTCCCTAACCCACAAATTCGAAGGCTTGAAAAGTTCAAGCTCACTCAAGCCCTTTTGGCAAGTAAACATGAAGATGGGAAACCTATGTGTGCATACGTCTTAGAGATGAAGTCACACATTGACAAGTTAATGATGTTGGGTGTCGAGATATCAAGTGATTTGGCTGTTGTATGGGTTCTTCAGTCACTTCCTGAATCATATAGTGAGTTCGTAAGAGAATACTATATGATGGAACACGACGTGACCCTAATTGATCTCACTTATTTTCTTATAGTTGCTGAATCAGCAATGATTTGGCGTGCTGGTCAAGCAAGTTTGTCTGGTGAATCAAACTCCTAAGATTCAATAGATACTGGCAACATTGGAAGTCCAGAAAGGACTAAGTATAAGATTGTCACATGTAATGTGCCAAAGGAGTCCATTTGCTTCTATTTCCAAGAGAAGGGGCATTGGAGACGAAGCTGTCCTATTTACCTGAGAGATCTAACAGATGGGAGAGTCAAGACGTATGGCTCTACATCAGGTAAAATCCATTAACTAACTCTATAAGTTCCTATTTTTGGATTCTTAATACACGATGTCATAAGATTACATTTTGATGTTTTGTAGGATCGAAGAAAAGAGAGGAAGCTTAAGGGAACAAGTAAGCTGAATCTGATCGGGAAGAAATGGATTTCGATCACATTGCTTGAAGAATGGATTTTTAAGCTACTACTTTAGAGTTAGGATAAATTGCTTAAGAATGTGTAATAGCATAGTTTTTAGTTGAATTGCATTGTAAGGACAAGTTTTTCCACAATAAAATAAATTTTGAGTTTTATCTTATTTACTTATCCTTGCAATGGCATGTGTGAAAATGGATGTTTGTATTTTAGCAATGTTGAGTTGGATATGATTCTTGTTTTGCTATTTGAGAAAATGTCGAGAATTTACCAAATAAGGAAAGATTTTCATCTCCCAAGTTTCAATTGGATAGAAACTTGGAATCATGCAATGTGTATTGTATGATGAATGAAAACTTTCATATTTTGAAATTAGACTAATTCCTTGACAAAGTGTCAAGTGAAGGACCAGGAGATCGAGCATACTAGGTTGTGCGTTGATCAAGTCCACCACAAGAGTGATAAAAATATTCGTCAAGATTTAATAAAGTTTAGTAAATATGGTTATACTTATAAGATTAAGTATAATTCTGAGTTGATGGAAAGAGTTTCAATCAATAGCAGAACAAATAAGAAGAATCAAGTAGACAGAAAGATAAAAGTTTCTCTATTCCAAGAAGAAGGGAGAGTACATTTTATTGGGTTTTATGATAATTCTTAATGATTAAGAACTATTTCTCAATTGGTCCTCTAAGTGAGTCTTAGTGCATTTGTATGTCTAAGAAAAGGAATCGAGAATTGTGGAAATGATTAAAATCAAGAAGTCAATCATACTTCGTTCCAATATCGAGTCTTAGAGTCATACTCCAAGATTGTGACTCCAGTGACAAGTCTTAAGTAGGTTTGTAACACTTGTAAAATGTAGAATAAGAAAGCTTCTTATTTTTTTAACATTTGAAATTGGTAAGTTCTGTTGTCTTGGATAAGACAAAGACCAACTAAGACCAATTGAGTGAAGTGTTAAACTTGATAAGAAACTACACTAACTCTTGAATATTTTTTGTCAAGAAAGGTTTCTTGGAAAAACAGAATCTTATGTGTCAAGGAGTCAGTGGGATTCTTAATGGTCTTGAAAAGGTTCAGGAACAAATCAAGAGTAAACCTAGTTGATCATCACTAGCATGTGGCTTGAGGTTTATAATCTGTCTTACTCTTATTTCTGTGCCATTCCAGTTAAGTTAATTATGCATGTGAGTTCTATGAGTTCTCGTTTGAAGGCATAAAGACAATGCACCTTGATCAATGGAAACTACATTGATATGTAGGGGTGAGTAGCTTGGAAGACATGGTGGAATTCATGCTACCATAAGGAAAGGAATCAAAACTGAACAAGTTCAGTTCATGTGAGATTGAATTTGTCGCAAACCTTGGTTTTGGCAAAATTCATATGGATAGGAACACATACACTATAAAATCCAAATGACAAGGTTTCCTTACTTCATGAAAATGATTGTGCAGAAATGCTTTCACTAAGAGAGATTTTAAGGAGATAGTAGTTGTGTAAATTGTATTCTCAAATTCGATTATGATTCCGGCATCCCTCTTCATAGTTTGAATTGTGAGATTTGGCAATTAGTCTGAACATTTGGGACCCAGTAACATAAGTTCAGAATTTGTTTAGACACACATGTAAGCTTTCTAAGGCAAAGGTGTATGAAGTTAAGAAGCTTAGATAAAGGCTTATCAAAGCATCAAGTATTAGAAATATGAACGTAAGGAATTCAATAAGCATTGTCTTCTGGAAGTTCCAGTGTTTTCCGAATACATGTCAAAGCTAGTGGGAGTATAAGTGTTATGCCAATAAGGAAATAATCATCATGTTAGTGGGAGCATGATTATTATGGTGAGTATTGCAAGTTAGCAATATTAATTAAAGAAAACAAGAGTTATACTTTGCAAAGTCGCAAGGGTTGAAAAGTTGTTTTGCTATAATTAAGGGAGAAAATATTATACTTCATTTCAAATCTAAAGCCTTAGATTGTGGAATTTTAATCAAATTTAGTCAAATACATATGAATGTTGTGTTGGAATGGTTCAACATGAGGAAATTCTATATATTGAAGGATGATTGCGTTCTCAAAATTTGGTTATGATTACGGCTTCCCTTTTCATAATCAAAATTGTAAGAACATGGCAAATAGAAATATTATAGCAAACGACTGGTAAAGTATCACGTCTTTATGTAAGACAATTATGAATCGTGTCCCATACGCTTCAGATATAGGATCGATTGCATATGCTATAATGTTTGGTCGTTCTAAAATTTTCCAAATGCTTAGCGCATTAAGAGGGAAAAGAGACTAGAACGGTTTTTGACTGAAATTATTAAACAACTATCAAAGGACAATCTAAGGTTCGCCAAGGATTTGTTGCTTGTGAGTAGCTGGAAGTATAGTGATGGATGGACCATATCAACATTATTATGAATATATAAGATTCTATTAAGAATGAGTTGTCATATGGAAAATATGGAAATGTTTCCATATTGGGAGTTGGAAATTGAGAATTTATGTCTAGATTAGAA